CCCCATGCCACCCAGATTGTGGGCTTGTGAGACTATTCCCAGCACCTGCCACTGGGCTGACCTGGTCCACAGCCATGCCTCTGGGCTCACCCCTGCCGGACCCTGCACAGAGGACACTCTCTCAGCAACCCCAGGCCTACATGGGAGGTAGGGAGGGGGCACAAGCTCAGAGTGGGCAGGCCTCTGCTGGGCCACATCCAGCAGGTGTGGCCACTGAAGTCAGGACCACGCCAGGACATGTCCCTGACTAGATATAAAAGCACCTGGACCCACAAGGTGGCAGAGGTCACACAGCCTCAGGCTGATGAGAGCTCTGGTAAGCAGCTTAGGGGAGACCAGGAGGCCTCCTGCTTCTGCCCGGGAGAGCCACTGGGGGAAGATCACATGCCCAGGTTGCCAGAAAGACCCTATAGGATGGGAGGCCCTGGACAGGTGAAGTTCACACAGGCAGCTGGGTACCTGCATGTGCCTCTGCCGTGCATGGCTCCAGCCCACAACCTGTGCCTCGGCTTGTTTTGTCTCCCTAGTAAAGGTGCCACTCCCAGGCCTGCTGCAGCCCATGGGCATGGGTAGGCCCCGGCCCAGCACAGCTTGTGTGGGGTGGTGCTTCAGGCACAGGGAGCACGGGCTTCCGGGCCCTCAGGACAGGTAGAGCCAGAAGGCCTGGCCACCCGAGCCCACCTCAGGAACTCCTCACCCTGTTCCTGAGTCCAAGGCATCATTTCCCAGGGAGAAACCCGCACAGGCCAAACACAAGAGGAGTGCAGGTAGTAAGCAGGAGGGGCCCTGCCTCAGGCCACCCAGGCATGGGCTGGCACCATGGAGGCTTCTTAGGCGGGCACCCGAGCCACAAGGCAGGAGGCAGAGTGTGTGACGGGGACAGGAGCAAGATTAGGCCAGCTGTCTCTTGTCCAGACGGCCGCCGGCTGTGGGCAGGACATCTGCTCACACAGCTGAGTGGAGCTAGGTGGGGCCTGCTTCCGCCTCACCTCAAATCCTACCACACAGCCACCAGCACTCCTGTCTCTCTCCTCTGAAGTTTGGGTGGCCTGTGGACCCTGGCCCAGGGGTCTGGTCCTGGCCTGCATTGGGGCCAGGGGAGAGCCTCCTCCCAGGGCAGAGATGCAAGGGCAAAGGGGCTGCATGGGGGACTAGGATCACCCTCTCTCTGCTCCTGCATTTGCCTATGCCTGCTCATGCCACTGCAGTCTTCCTCCTGTTCAGACACATGGAGGAACACTGACCCCATATCCCCTCCTCTGAGCCCCTGGAGCTCACCTGGCACACTGCTGGCCATCTGGTTAGGGCAGCTTCTAAGAGGCCTCTTAGCCTATGCCACCAGCACATCCCACTGCCAGGAACCATACCTCACCCTTGCCCATGTGCTCCCTGGGGCATCCAAGCTGGGGGTCTCCATGTAGCCCTTGCCCACTGCCAGTCCTAGCCCAGGGCTGACTGTAATGTGTGGCTCAGCCCCAACTCCCTGGCACCCTCCTGTCTGGCACAAATGCCCCACTCAGGCCTCTACCCAGCCTCATTTCTCGGGCCCCCTGTCCACTGGCTGTCAGATTGGGAAGTCTGCAGCTGGACCCTAGAGTTTCCACACACAGCCACCCTGCCTATCTGACATGAGCACTGGCACGAAAAACAGCACCCTTCACACCCTAGGCAGCAGCGTCCTCTCTGGTGCCCTGAGCACCCAGAACAGCCCAACACAAAGCCCTGGCACATGTGCCTCTGCCATGTGCATGTGCCATGTGCATAGCCCCACACCACACAAACACAGGACTAGGGGCCAAGCACAAGAAGGCATCTCTGGGTCTAGGATGAGAGAGCCAACCAGGGAACAGAGAGCTCTCACATTCAACAGAAACACCACTGGATCAAAAGGCAGGCAAAGAACCGAGTAAGCAAGTGGTCCCCAAAGAAAATGGGTGTGTGGCTGCAGGAAGGTACTCAGTGCCGTCGGTCATTCAGGGAACACACGAAGCCCACCGGGGCTCCCTTCACCTCCACATTACCGGGGAGACAGGGAAAACTTGGACCACATCCATCAGGTGGTGACCAGCAACCCCACTTTCAGCTATGAACCCCAAAGAACTGGAAGCTCACACTGTACAAGGAAGTGTCCACCAAGGTTCACCACGTTGTTCAAAATAATTGAGCAGTGAGAACACCCTAGACACCCCACTGCCAGATAGGTTAGCTGGTGTCTGCTGTCACTTAGATGCAAGGGCAGCCCCAACAGCCTCAGAAACTAGACTGCTCAAGGGCAGCCAGACACAAAGGCCACATGGCGCAAGATTCCATTTCCACAACCCATCCCGAAGAGGAAAATCCATGGAGACAGGAAGCAGATTAGTGGTTGCCAGGGCCTGAAGGGGGAGTAAGCACTGAACGGGTATGAGGTTTCTAGGATGAGGAAAATATTCTGGAATTAGATAGTGGTGATGGCTGCATGGCCCCATGAATGCACCAAAACCACTGAGCTGGGACTTGGCTGGGACGCAGGAACTCTGCAGGCCGTAATGCCGCTCAGCTGGGACTGTCCCAAAGTGCCCCCATGATGGCCTTTCCAGGGTTCCAGCACCCTGTCTGCACTGACATCAGGACTGCCATGGGCTCCAGGCCCCGCTGGGGGACACGGGCCTCTTCCACACAGGCCACAGCCTACAGACCCCACAGCAGACCTCGGCTTCCACCCTCCGTCTTCCCAGAGTGGCCTGCAGACGTTTCCTGAGCAACAAGAATGCACATGCCAAAACCAAAGCATAGTCCCCGGGTTTATGACGGTGTCTTCTGAGACCTTTAAAAGAAGCAGAGCTGGAAGCCCCTGGCCTGCTGAGGGCCTCTGCTGGGGGCTTGCTCATGCTGCACAGGATTCTAAGGAAGGGCTGAAAGGTGCCCAGGCCCCACCACATACAGCCCCAGACATCTGTGCCATCTCTTCACGAGGACCGACACAGAAGGACCAGGCAGGTGAGCCAAAGTCTGAGGCCAGCCTCACAGCCTCCTCAGAAGAGAGACCTGGGTCTGTGCCCCACCTCCCAACCTTGAGTTAGCCCCTTCCTGCACCCCTGACCCTCACTGGCCCCCAGAGATCCCAATGGCAATGACACCTGCTAAGTGGGCAGGATGCCCAGCTGGCCAGCAGAGGAGAAGAGGCAGCCCCTGCCCCTTGGCAGGCAGCCAGCCTGGAGAGGTCTGGTTGTGGGGTGTCCAGAGGCCTCAAGAAGGGCAGGGCAGCCTGAGAGGGCTAGGGTTGGGTTGCAGTCAGCAAGGGGGCAGGGAGGGCTCCCGGGGGCCACGTGACCCTCCCCAGGGCCAGCCTCTCCTCTCTGGGTTCCCGGGCTGTAACTGGAGCCGCGTTCCTGCCTGGGAGCCTCCGTGCCAGGCAGGGCTGTGTAGAGAGAGGGGGAAGGGAGAAGAGAGCCCCAGATTCCAACTCCTTCTCCCTCCCTCTCCTCCGCCTCAGCACGACCTGCGCCCACAAGAGCTGCCATGCCATTTTCCCCCCAAGCACAACTTGGGCCCCCACTTCCTTCTCTGGCCAACCCTCTGGAGTCAACTCCAGTGAGGCCCAAGGTGCCAAGTCTGCCCCTCCTGGACACTGGCTCTGGAATGTACCCAGGCTTGGTTCACCCAAGTCCTGGCTACCTGTCTAGAGTCCTCCTCACAGCCAGTTTTCCCCAGGGAAGCAACCCTCAACGGTCCTTTGGGGCCAAAGAAGCAGGCAAAGGACCTGACCAGGAGCCACAAGCCTGACACCCTTGCATCTGCACAGAGACAGAATCTAGCGTTCACCCTGGCAGGGAACCACAGCACACACACCATGCTCTGGAGGCCTGCGGATGCTGGCCAGAGGCTGGTCCACGAAGGTCCACTTGTAGCCCACAGCAGCTAAATTTTGGAGCCCCAGAACAGGAGCAGAGATCCCACAGGGGCAGAGACCCAGATGAGGCCGGGAGTGTCAGGGCCAGAGACAGTAAAGCACAGCTCACTGCTGCGCAGCTGTGACTCACAGGGACCTGTGGCCAGACCGCCATCCTCAGCCTCCCGCCCACTCCGTAGGAGGCAAGGGCCGCAGCCCTAGACCCTGGTTCGCCTGCCCAGAGAGAGCCCAGATGGGGACCAAGACCCTACACTGACCCTGGAAGGCAATCCAAGAAAGAGGAATGGACAGAAGAAAAGAGGCGAAAGAAAAACACAAAGGGAAAGTTTCCCAAGAAAATATTTTATTTTCTTTGAGAACAGGATACACCTGCAGGGCTGCTTGGCCCAGCGGCCTCTCCCTGCCCCGCCGGGCTGGATTCCTGAACCGACGGGGCCCTCTGCCGGCCAGGCCTCCGCGCGGCGCCCGGCCAGGAAGGAACAGGTGACCGGCGAGGGCGGCGGCCGGGCGCCTGGAGCGGGGCGGGACCGCGGGTTGGGAGGGAGGGGACAGCGGGCCGCTGCACCATGCCACCCCTCGCTCTGTGCCCCTCGAGGGTGACCGGGAACGGGCATCTCCGACCGGGAAGGCGGGGAGAGAGGGAAGCAGAAAGGTCAGAGGCGCGCCCTCGAGCGCGCAGGGCTGCAGCGTCGAGGGACAGGCGCCCCCCGCCGGTCCCAAGTGCGCTCGGGGCCGAGCGGGCGGGCGGCAGTGGCGGCGGCGGCGCGGGGAGCGCGGAGCAGAAAACGAGCCACTCGGGCTCGGAGGTCTCCCTGGGTCTACGCGAACGAACATCTGGATTTTGTACGTGTTTTCTGTTGTTGTTAAAGTAACTTTTGGAGCAGAAGGGGCGATGGGAGGCTCCAGCCTCTTGGCAGAAGCCAGGCGGCCTACGGCTGGGCGGCGACTCTGGGTCCGGGGCACGGCGGCTGCCCCGCGGGGACCCGATGCAGCGACGACGCGCAAACAAACCGCCTGGCAGCAGTGCGCCGGACACTGGCCTGCCCATCCGCCCACCTACCCGTCTAGCGCCCCTGCCCGTTCCCGACCCGTCCCCCACGGCACCTACCCGAAGTAGGCGACCGAAGGGCGCGGCGCGGCGAGCAGCAGCGTCAGCCCGAGGGCCGCGGCAAGCCAGCGCGCCGGCAGAAACCCATCCAGCATCTTGCTGCGCCGCGGCGGCCGACCATCGCGCTCCAGGTTCCGCGCTGGGCTCGCCGCAGCCGCCGTCTTATAGCGCCTGAGAGCGGCCGCGGGGGCGGGCCGGGGCTGGACCTAGAAGGGCGTGGCCCGGGCCCGATGGGTGGGGCCGGAAGGGGGTCGGGGCGGGGCCGGAAAGGGGCGGGACCATTGAGTGCAGGGAGCGGGGCTTTGGGCGGTTCTTGGAGGACGGGGCTAAAAGGCGGCGGGGCGGGGCGGGGCGGGACAGTGGGCAGGGCCGTGGGGGCGAGGCCAAGAGGCTGTAGGGGCCGAAATCCGAGCGGTAGCCCGGCGGGCTCGGGCACGCTTGCCGGAAGGTGGGAGGGCAGTTGGCAGAAGTGGCGGGAGACGCGGTGTCAAGGGACCGGGCGGACGGCGGTGGGAGGGCGTAGGGCCAGAGCGGGCGACCTTGGGGCGGGGGCAGTCGGGGCCGGGGCGGAGTCGGGGTTTGGTTGCCACAGCCGGAGCACGGGGGCGGCCTGGGCTCAGGTCCTGGACGAGGGCGTGGCCGGAGACCTCTGCTGCCTCCCCGAAGCTGGGGCACTCAGAAGCTCCCCGGGAAGCTTGGGGAAGAACACTTGGACCTGAATCGAGCGAGCTGGTCCTGGGGGACCCAGGTGTCCTGTCCATAAACTGCGGAGGTGCTGGCGACCACGGTCCCCGCAGCCCAGCACACCCGGGACTCCGTGAGGCGGCCCCAGCTCAGCGACCTCTGCGCTGCTGGGTTGGGAGGGGTCCGAGAATTCCAGCGAGAGCTGGCTAGAAGGGGGTCAGAGAATTCCAGCGGGGTGCTGCGCTAGCCCAGTAGGGCCCTGGCGATCTGGCCACCCTGGCCTGGCAGGGACTTCTGAAAACCAGCCACAGCCACTTGCCTGTGCTGGGCACATATAGAAGGGTACGGAGGGCAGAAGTGGTGCCCACCCTGGACCGGAGCTCAAGGCTATATGGCTAAACAGACTCATGGTCTGGCCAAACCTCGTCCACTCCGTGCCTCAGCTTCCCCATGTGAAACCCCTTGTCCCATTGTAGCCCACCGCCACCCTTTGTGTCGCATGGAATCAGCCTAGCCCCTGGAGAGCTCTGGCAGCCAAAGGAGCCCAAGGGGCAGTCCCAGATTACAGACCTCCACCTGGAGGCTACTCCAGCAATCCAGAAAGAATGGGGCAGGGAGCAGGAACCGGATTGATGGTTCGATGCCATTTTTAACAGCATGAGATAGGGTCCAAGGAAAAGGATGCTTCAGAACCCCAGCACTGCATGTTACGAATTTCCCTTCCGGCCTGAGGCGGGATACAGCCACCCAGAGAGTCCCTGTGGAAGTGGGCAGCTGCCGGTCAGGAATGGAATCAGAGGTCAGCCTAGAACCATGTGAGGGACTGCTAGTCAAGAGGTGCTCTATATGGACCAGGGAGGGCTCTGCATCCCATGGTGTAGTGATTGTGAGGCCATAGCAAATACCAGGGGTGCCTGACTCCAAGGGCCCCAAGCCTTTACCCAGAACTCCCTCTAGGCACCTGTCAGGACCCTGGAGGGCCCAGAGCATCCATCTTATGGGAGCCAGACCTATTGTCGTGGTGGGGGGCATGCACAAAGGTGGTGGACAGAGGTGTTTTGGCCCCAGGTCCTCAGGTGGGTTGCACAATGGGTGGCCTGGTCACTCGTGTTAGCTCAGGGCATGGGTGTGTGTGGTGGTCTAGTCAGTGCAGGGCAGTTCAGGGTCTACAACTGTGTTCTGAGAGAACCACTAGGCTTCAGGTGGCCTCAGGAGACCTGCCTGCCAGCAGCGGCCTCCTTCCGTCTTCATAGGCCTGATGGCTCCTTGGGGCCCAGGATGCTACAGGCCCCCATGCACCAACACACCAGTCCGAGGGACCTGGCTGGGCCATCCCTCAGCGTGGCCCAAGCTCTCTGCATATGGATGGACCAGGAGGGAGTTGGGCCGGAACTCAGTCCTCAGTGCTCATGGGACAGCCAAGCAGCACCCCGATCACGCCAGCCTCTGTAGTGCGGGGGACCTCAGAGGACGCCCACACCCATCCCCCTTGCATCCCTGCTTGGGGTGGGTGAGGAGAGCAGAGTCCCAGGACAGTCACTTCTTGTTTCCTCTGTGGCTGGAAGGCCCATCTCCCCTGCTCAGGCACCCAGGCCAGCAGAGCTGTCCAAACAAGAGGTGAGGGCCAGATGGGGTGATCTTGAGCGCAGTGGAAACTCCAGGAATCTAGCTCAGGTCAGAAAAACGGTCACGGGCTGGGGATTTAGCTCAGCGGCATAAGTGCCTGCCTTGCTAGCAGGCAGTCGTGAGTTCCATCCCTGGTACCGATAAAAAGGAAAAAGACTAAAAAAAAAAAAAAAAAAAGAAAAGAAAAGAAAAGAAAAACGGTCACAATCCCATGTTTATGTCAACCCCCAGACTTGAGCTGGCCCAAGGGGAGGCCCAGCCCCAAGGGAGGGTCCCATCTGATGTCCAGGTCCATGCTGTTCGTTGCTTCCCCAGCCTCCCCCAGGCCTTCAGTTGGTTTCCATTCTCTGGGAGGAACAGGCTCCGTGTGGCCCATAAGGTTGCTGTCCCTCTGCTGGGCCCTGGTGCATGGGTCAGGTTTCTGCCTGACCCATGAGGGTCTCCTCCAGCCCCAGGTGCATGAGAGAACCCCTAGGTGGGAGGAAGGGGTGATGCCCAGGAAGCAGCAGACAAGAGTCAGTGCCTGGAGGCCTGCGCAGAGTGTGGATCCCACTGAGGGAGAAGAGTGGCAACAGCCATGTGCACCCTATATCCAGATGCTCAGCTAGGTGCCCAACCTCATGGAACCCCTGCCTGGGGAACTGCGGCCCACTGGGCCCTCCCTGGGCCTCATCTGTACCCTGAGCCATGTAGGATATGGGGTCTCTGGGTTACTGGGACCTCAACTACAGGACTCACCCCTTTAATAACCAGGCTCGAGGCTAGGGGTTTAGCTCAGTGGCTAAAGCACTTGCCTGGTTAAGTGCAAGGTCATGAGTTCAATCCCTGGCACCAAAAAAAAAAAAAAAAAAAAAAAAAAAAAAAAGTGAAAACCAGGCTCCAGCCAGGCAAAACAAACCCACACAGCTGGGTTCATCACCCAGGACCCAGCAAGAGCCCAGCAGGGCTTGCCAGGAGCCTGGCACACCCAGGTGCCCTCTGTACCTCCCAACTCTGCCTGAGCCCCACTGATTAGGGCAGCTGGGCTGAGAGCACCAGGGACTCCTGCTCTTCCTCCTGTGTCCTTCTTCCTAGCCAGAGATGAGCCCCTGGGACCCTCTACCAGGTAGGAAAGAGAATGAAGTGGCAAAAGAGAGAGACGGAGGAGAGAAAGTGCACCCCTCCCTGGGACTGGCTGGGGCAGGTATGTACCTCCCAGCTGACACTGACCCAGGTTGTGACCCTGCTGGGCTTCAGTTTCCCCATAGGGTGTAAAAGGCTGGGTTGGGAGGCTGCCTGGAGGAGACTACTTCCCCTCAGGGGAAGGCTGTGACTGCCCAAGAGACTGCCCAAGAGTCATTTGAAGTAGCTGGACAGGAAGCCCAGGGAAAATGATCCCAGCCAGACCACCAGCCATGGCTGGGGGAGTTCATGGGCTGTGCCAAGGCTTATGAGTGTGTGTGTGTGTGTATGTGTGTGTGTGTGTGTGTGTGTGTGTGTGTGTGTGTGTGTGTGGTGTGTGTGTGTGTGCGCGCGCGCGCGGGCGCGTCAGAGGACTAGACAGGACCCCAGAGATCACAGGCTAAGGCTGCCCCCTGCAGGTCACTGAGGGAAGAGGCCAGCATGGTACGAGGTCCCAGCCAGGCTCTTGTCTAAGGGGCAGCGTTGTCTCAGGACCCACCCAGCCGCGAGAGCTGCACAGGGAGCATGTTCTCCATGACGAGGAAACCATGACTGACACCACTGCATTCCCTGTGAGTCTGTCAGAGACTGAGCAGCAGCCTCACAAGGGCTTTGTGTCCTTTTCCCTTTCCACAGGGGCGTCCCCGAAGACAGCTGAGCCGGAACGTGGTGCCGCCCTCACTGGTTCTGCGCAGTTCATTACGAGAGGAAGCACCTGTGTCTCTGCTGTCGAGATACTTAACCCGCACTGCCCAGCATCCTGCCCGCTGCCTTCCGCAGCCACCTGCAGCCCTTGGCACACGCTTGTCTGCCTAGCACTCTGGTTTCAAAGATACGACCAGGTGGAACCATGCAGTGTGGAGCCCTTGGGATTATCTTTTCCTGCAGTGCAGTCCCCTTGAGACCTACCCCAGGCAGTGCTGGGCGTTGGCCAGCAAGATGGAGCTCATGTGCCCAGTCACCTTGAGCTTGTAGTGTGCCCAGTCACTTTGAGCTTGTATCAGAGCTGCTCCCACCGCACTCATCCACCCATTAGCCCATTCGTAACTGTACCCCACTCACCACCGTGGATCTACCCCAATACTTCGAACACGTGGCATTGGGGTCGAGTTTCCAGTCTGAAATGTAGCACATGGTCACATCATAGTGCTGCTAGAAGTACCACAGAGTGATCCATCTGGCCACTCACCCTTCCAGAGGTTTGGACACAGTCTCCCACTGTGAACCTCCACTTTCAGGTCTCACATGAATCCATCCCCCTGGGAAACACGCCCAGCCAGCAGCCGCTGCACAGAGTGCTCACCATGTGCTTGGTTCTGTGAGAAACCGGGGATGCACAAAGCCGCTGAGTCACCCGGACATCCTGCTCTCCTGGTTGCAGTGTGTGTGTGACCCAGGTTCTCTGCATCCTCACCAGGCGTGATGCCACTGCCCTGCATTTACAGATCTGCTGTGGTTTTAGTTTGCATCTCTCTCCTGGCCAGTGACACCTGTATGTCCTCTTTAGTCCTAATTGGGCTCTTAATACTGAGTTTTGAAAACTGTACTGTGGGACGTTTCCCTTGCAAATGAGGTGCCTTAGTTACTTTTCTCTCATGGCTGAGACAAAATACCCAGCACCCAAAATGAAGGAAGGGAAAGTTTATTAGCTCCCAGTTTGTGGAGGTTGGCTGGCTCCAAGGCAGGGTGGCCCGGCATGGGGGCAACACTTCAATGCAGCA